GGGCCAGGACTAGCTGGGGTGGGATCCCAGGAGGCAGGGGGGTGGGGGAATTAGGAATGCAGAACCTGGCTTTCATCTGGCCGCGGGCAGCCAGTGGGCGCAAGCAGGACTCCCAGGAGCAGCCTGAGCTGGCGCCAGATACACTATCTTATCTGGCCGCATACCTGATTGGAGGGTAATTGTTCAGGCTTTGGGGAAAAGAAACCCATCCCCACTAAGTGGGGAAAGTGAGGTGGAGGGACTCTGAGGGCAAGATGCCCTGTCCCTGGGCAAGTGCCCCAGAGGGTGACCAGTTCAGGGTCCAGCCTCTGGCCGCATCCTGGAGTCCTGCCAGGGTCGCCTGTCAGATTCGAGGCTTGGGCCAGGAGATTCAAGAGCAGGTGCTCAGGGGAGGGAGGGTGGCCCTGGGCCACTGCCCACCTGGCCAGGAGGAGCCCACTCAGAGACCAGCTTCCTGGGACAGAGGGGGACAAGTAGAGATGGGAAGGCGGCCATGGAGCGCTTGGGTTGGGAGGGGCTGGCCATCACCTGCCCATCTCGGTGCCCTGTCAGGGCTTGGGTTCCACTAGAGGGGAGAAGGGGGCCATCCAAAGCCCTTACGAGGTCCCAGTCATCACCCCATGCTCTTCACTGCCCAGATGTCCTCCACTCGTGGGGGTTAGGGGAGCTAGGGGACCTGTCAGCTGAAGCTGCTGGGAGTGGAGCTGGTGCGGCTCTGCCTCCAGCTCCGGGCAGCCCTGTGTGTGCAGACCAGAGCTGCCCTGGTGTATTTTCCAGGCTGTGACCCGAGAATCCCCACCCGTCACCCCGTCAGGTTCAAACCCATTTTTCCCAATGTGCAGCGTGGAACCCCACCTGCCCGGGCTCCCGAGAAAGGCATGCTGTGCCCTGGAAGGTCTTGTCCACATGGTCCTCGGCACATGCCGGCCCCTTTTGGACTTCCCACAAACCGACGGGTGGGGCCAGGTTAGGAGTCGGGGTCACCCACCTCGGGTCTGGCTGACCTGCCCAGCTAGGCTCCTTAAGCGGGCAGTCAGGCGGGCGATTGCCTTCAGGAGCCTGTGCCTTCACTGTCCCCTTGTGGCCTTGCCGGGGACAGCGGCTCCAAGAGCTGGAGACTGGCGGCCTCCAGGGAGCCTAGCCTGGAGACTTCCAATGACCCACGATAAGCTGAGCCCCTTTCTGACAGCCGCCTGTGCTCCCGGGGCGGGTCCCTCACTTCTGCAGGGCCATGGAGTCAGCTCCACACACGCGCACACACACACACACCGGGGCGGGTCCCTCACTTCTGCAGGGCCGTGGAGTCAGCTCCCCCCTACACACACAGGTCCCTGCCGCACCCCACGGGTGGGGGGGAATAGGTAAAGAAGAAGCCCTCCTGCCAGGGCCTGGGGGGGAGGGGGGGCATATGCCAGCCTGTCTGTGCCCCTGTTCCTCCTCCAGAGGTCCCATTCCTGGGTCCCATCTCAGCCCAGCTCCGCCGTGGCTTTGAGCACCTCTCCAGGGTCCCTTTTGAGTCTAGGCCTGGCACGTAAGGGCTGGTGTGTTAGACCATATTGACTAGAGAAACAAATTCATTGACACTCTTATGTGTGTAAGAGAGAACTTTATATCAAGAAGTAGTTCTGCATCAATAAAAGAGCCCAGCCCAGATCAAGTCCGTAAGTCCAATATCAGCCCATGAGTTCTTCAGGATCACGTCGCACAGGCAATGATGCTGACAGCAGGGATATCACAGGCTGATGGGTGGAAAGTCCTGTGGGTCCATGGTGGTGGACACACCTCCAGGGCTCTGGCTGCCATCCGCGTGACTCCATGTGGCTTGTCAACAGGAATGTGTAGCAGAGAGGCAGGCCTGCTTCTGATGGCGGATTCAAGAGAGAGTTCCCAGAATCCTCACCCACAACCAAAAGGAAGGGTCATCAGGCTGTGACCTGATGGACAAGCAAGACTCCACCCCTCCATTCTTATCTCATGATTTTATATCAGTGCATCTGAAAGGAAACCGTTAACTACCACAGATAGAGCGGCTGGTCGGGAGGTGGCTCAGCCATACCACAGGCTGGGGAGGCCGGGGCAAGTCTGGGGTCCAGGGGTCAGGAGAGTTCTTCCCAGCCTGCAGAGGTCAGCAGCAGTGACCGTGAGACCCCGTCCACCCATTCAGCTCCTGCAGCTGGGCTCCGGCCTGGGAGCAGGCAATCCCGACACCACGGCAACAGGCACTGCTGGAAGCCTGGCTGTCAGTGGGGCTCGGCCGCGCTGGCTCTGTACGGCTTCTCAGCCACGTGGCAGGTCTGCTCCAGCAGCCACTGCCTCTCGGGCTCGCTCACGGTCAGGTGGAGCGTCACCTCCTGGAAGATGTCACTCACAGCGACCTGGGAGAGAAGGAGAGCAGGGTCTCAGCCCCCAGCCTTGCTCCTTCCCGCCTTGCCAGCCACAGCCGTCACCGTCACGTCCTCACCTGTGCAAAGTGAAGCTTCTGGAACAGGCGGAGGCTCGCTTCATTTCCTTGCCCAATTTTAGCCTCAAACCTGGTCAGACCGAGCTTGGAGACTCCTCCCCAAGGAGACCAGAGAGTGGGCTGAAGATGAGGCCCCGGGCCCATCCCCAGCCCTGACAATGGACACACCTGCTGCCCTTCCCCCCACCCTACCCCCAGTCCGGTGCCTTAGGACAGCCTTACCATAAGCCATCATCATGAGAACGGCCTCTGTGCCAAGTCCCCGGCCGCGGCAGCTGGGCTCTGGAAGAAACAGCAGCAATAGTGGTGGCTGACCAAGAAGCCCTCGGGCCCAAATGGTTGTGCGCCCGGCAGCTGGTGGAGAGCTCAGTAGCTGGGACTCACCCAGACAGCTCCAGGGAGAAGGAGCTGGCTTTCTGCTTCCAGAAAGATGACAACCCAGGGACTGTCGAGGACTGCCCTACACGGCCCCAGGGGGTCACCTCAACAGCCCCTCACCACCGCCACCCGCCCCTACTGCCCAGGGTCTGGCCTCTGGCTTCGGCACTCATCGCACCCGGTCTCACCAGGACTGCTCAGCTGATGAGAAAAGGGGCAGGAGATGACATGACCAGGCCGAGGCCTCACCATTGGGGAGCCCGGCAACGGCACCCCAAGGCTGGCAGCCTTCCCCTCAGTGAGAACAGCCAGGGGCATGGGGTGGAGGAGAGGTGCGGAAGCCCTCCCAGGACACGGTGAAGACCGGTTCTCTTTGAAGGGCCGCCCTCCACCCCACCAGCCCCAAGGATGTGCAGGCTCTGAAAGCAAAGGCTGAGTTCATGCCTAGTGGGAGATGAGCATAAAGTGGCAAGGGTAGCGGGGAGCGGCCATTAGGCAACGGACCCCAGGCAGGCAGCCCATCCCAGGCAGGTCCAGGCTCCTAGTCTGTGCCTCAGAGACCCCGGCGCTCCACCCCTCCCCAGGTGCCCCCCGGCAAGCTGGAGGTCCTGCAGTGCTGGTCTGGGGGCAACAAGCTGGAGGTCCTGCAGTGCTGGTCTGGGGGCAACACACCTGCAATCATGACCTCGATCTCGGCGACGGTGGGGTCTCCGGGATCCGTGAGGAAGAGGTTCACGTCGCCTACCATGCAGCCCTCCTCGGCAGAGCCTGGCTGGGCCCGCCACTGCTGCGCGTCCAGCACAATGAAGGTGCATTCTGGGGAGATCGGACCCGTCAGCCCTCAGCTCCCACAGGCTCTGAGAGGGGGGCCCAGAGCCACCCGGAGCTCATCACAAGGCTCGGATCCGCCTGGTGCAGTAAGACATGCCGTCTCCAAACAGCCAACGTGCTCGCGGTGAGGATGGCGAGGAGTCGACTGAGCAGTAGCCAGAGCCAGCACCCCAGAGCCTTGACTCCCTCTTGCCCCTCAGGCGTGGCCCAGGGGGCAGAGGAGAGACGCACAGGTCACAGGCAATGGCCAGCAGGCAGGAGAGCAGCACCAGGGGCTCTGGCACATTCCAGGCCTTTCTCAAAGCTCTTGTGGCCCAGAGAGGTGTGTGGAGCCCTTGCCCTCCCACCCCCAGCCTGGGGCTCAGCTCCTCACTGTCCGCGTCCTCCCGCCAACTGTGCTGCATGGCGTGCTCCTGCTCCAGGCTCAGAGGCTCAGAGGCCGTCAGCCGCTGCAGCTCCTCCGACTGCATCCACTCATGGTACCTGCAGGGCCAGAGGGAAGGCTGGAGGTCTGCGAGGCTGGTTCAGAAGCGGTATGAGACAAAGCATGGACGCTGTGGGAGGCAGGTGGCATCGGGCAAGCACCAAACCAAACCCATTGCCATTGGGCGGATGCTGACTCGGGACACAGTAGAAAGACCCCAGAGAGTTCCATGGAAACAGATGGACATACCTTTCTCCTGGAGAACGGCAGGCGGATTCACACGGTGGGCCTTTTCTGATTAGCAGTTGACCACTTGACCACAGTACCACCAGGACTGCTTGGAGCGGACACCCCAAAACCTCACTGCCAGCCAGTCAGTTCTGACTCATAGTGATCCTAGAGGACAGACCAGAACTGCCCTCTGTGGGTTTCTAAGGCTAAGCATCTTTATGGAAGCAGAAAGCCTCAACTTGTTCCTGTGGAGCAACTGGTAGGTTCGAACTGCTGACCCACTATAACACACACACAACCTCACTGCCATCAAGTCCACTCACACTGATACAGGCCCTGCAGGATAAGGGCAGAACTGCCCCTGGGAGTTCCCAAGACTGTAAATTACAGGAGTAGAAAGTCCCGGCTTTCTCTCCAGAGAAAGGGTTCTGGCTCCTTCTAAGGCAGGGATCTATGAGCACAAGACCTGGAGTCAGGGGAGCCCTGCAGGAGAATGGTGGGAAGGGTCGGGTCTGTTCTATCTGTCTGGCTTCCAGTCCCAGCGGAGCCCTGCAGGAGAAAGGTGGGAAGGGTCGGGTCTGTTCTATCTGTCTGGCTTCCAGTCCCAGCTCAGTGTAAGGATCAGCCTAGGGGGCTGAGCAGCCCCGGATCCCTGAGATGAAGTCCATGGCACCTCCCCACCAGCCCCCTCAGAAAAGGCGGGGGTCCTGAGGGGCACCAGAAACTCACAAGCAGAAACTGACAAGTAAAGAACCTCCCCGACCCGGACCAGGAACCACTTTTTCCTAGATTCCTGCCTTGTAAGACCTGGCCTTTCAAACAAGGGAATGTCAACATCTGTCAGCCCAAAGGCTTACCAACTCACCGTCCTGCCTTCCAAGTCAATTCTGACTTGTGGTGACCCTGGAGGGCAGGGTAGAACTGCCCCTGTGGGTTTCCAAGGATGTTTCCAAAGATCACTCTTTCTAATCCCTCAGTGGGTTTCTAAGGCTATAACTTTATGGTAATAGAAAGCCGTCTCTCTCCTCCTGCAGCCCATAGCTTTAGGACAGGCTGACAGTAAGCTGGAGTCAGTGGGTGATGCACACAGTTGAGGGACTCGGAGGCTGGAGTTCGCCACAGGTCTGGGGAGCTACTTTGGGGAAAGTAACCATTGAGAGCTCCCTGGAGTACAGTTCCCCTCTGACAGTGTCACGAGTCAGGATTGACTCAATGTCAACGGTTGTTTGGCTCTGTTGTTCTTGTTTTACTGGTAACAGTGAGTCCCTGGGGACAGAGCCGATCCGCTGACACACCAGGGGACATCAGTCAACCACAATGAGGGAGGCTGACCGTTTTGTTCTTGCCTCCACACACGTTTCCTTTGTGGAAAGTCGGCCCTTGTTGGAAAGCCAAAAAGGAAGCTAAGAGGATAAAAGAGAGAAGCAGCGAGATCGTCATCCTTCAGGGAAAGTCCCGCCCCTCTGCCCCGCTGTAACTTTCTCCCGTGTTGTTACACCTCACATTCAACATTCGGGTTCTCAAGGGGGAACGTCTCTGAGATTTGGCCTTAGGGCGGTTGCACCTGGGAAGACATGCTCCCACAGTCCTGAATGGGGAGCGCAGGTGAGCATGCATCGGAAAGAATGGTTACCTGGGCACATGCTCTGAGGTGTAAGGCACCAGGACCACCTTCTTCCCCTGCAGCAAGGTGTTCGCATTCAACCTCATGGTAGCAGCCTGTGGGCAGGGAAGGTAGATTTCAGGACTGGGAGTTTCCACGCACTTAGGGTGGGAAGCCAGGTTATCTCCTTGCTAGATCCCAGCAGAGATGCAAGTCCGGATCTCCGGGATAATTAAGCGCTTGGTTGCTCACTAAAACGTCAACCGTTTGAAAGTACCGGTAGCTCTCTAAATATTACAGCCTAGGCAACGCTAAGGAGCCGCATTGCTGCCTTCTGTGGGGTAGAAGAAACGTGTCGCTTTCTTTCCAAACACGTTTAATTCCCTGCAAGGGGAACCCGACTGATTACGGATATACGGATAATTAAACCGTCCTCGACACCCATTCAAAAGACTTTCCCACCTCCTGTCCCTGAACTAGCATCCCTTGCCCCAGGAGAGGCGCCTCGCAAGTCGCAACTTCCAGCGTGGGTTCAAGCTGTTTACAAGCCCTCTTCCCAGGGGCTCCGTTGCTCGCTCCTCCCGGCGCTGCAGGCGGGCAGGTGGAGCGTCCCAGGCCCGCCCCTTTGTGCGGCGCTAGGGGCTGCTCGTCCCGCCCCCCGAGCACCGGAGCCCGCCGAGTGCCAGCCTCACACTCACTCCCCACAGATGGACACGTCCGCGACCAGCAGGGCAGAGCCTGGCGTCCCCAGATGCCGGCCCCGCCCCTCCCGCGGCCACAAGGAAGCGCGCCTCCCCCCCCTTCCGCCACGCAGACGGGAGCCGCCGGGGCCCAAACGCGGTCCCGCCTCCGCCAGGCGCCCAATCAGCGCGCTCCGCCCCGCCCCCGACGCGCGCGGAAAGGGTGGGGCCCGGCGCGGGCGCATGCGCACGCGCGCTGCGGACGCGGGCGCGGGGCCGCTGGCGCCGACAGCCGCCCGCGGGCCGGAGACGCCGGGGCTAGCGAGGCGCGAGCTGCGTTCGCTGCAGGTGTCGGGCCCTGCAGGTGAGGCGGCCGGCGCCGGACTCGGGGCTCCTCTGGGAGGAAGGGAGAGGCTGGGAGCGAGGTCGTGCGTGAGGAGACCTGGGGATGGGGTAGCCCCGGGCAGGACCGCAGGCGGGGCGGGGGGCGAGGAGCAGAGACCCTGACAAAAAAGGCGAGGCTAGGTGGCAAGGGGTCGAGTTGGGGGGGCGAACCTGCGAACGCTTGTCGGCACCGGAGGCGGGGGGCAGGCAGCTCCTTGGGCCCCGCTGTCTCTGGACTCAGGGGCGGAGAGAGCCGTTCTGAGGGTGAAGGAGGCTCTCGTGCCCCGTGAGAGGTATGGGTTCGGGGCCCCTGTCCTCACTTGAAGTCGGAGCCGCCTCGAATACCCGCAGGCGGTGCACAGAACCCGGGGCCTGCACGGCGGGAGAGCCACAAACCGATAAGAAACACCCTGACTCCAGTAGCAGATCCTTAAGGCAGCGCCTGTCTGTGATAAAGGGGCGTGAGGTGGAGGGGCGGCGGGGTGAGGAGGATACAGACCTCTCCCCAATGCTCCCCAGCCCCCCACCCACCCCTACCCTCCATCCCAGGGTCCATCACCAAGTCTGGTCATTTGTCTTAGGTGGTGGCCATAGCAGCAGTAGGCAGCCGCCGGGTTCCTGCACAGAAGAGCCCTGGGCGGCGGGCACCCTGCCTCCGACGGAACATGGCTGGGGAAATCACCGAGACCGGGGACCTTTATTCTCCCTACGTGAGTTTGACGCCTAGAACCGCCTTTGTCCACAGCTGGGCTCCAGTCCCCTCGGGTCCTCGCTTGGGGGGAAGCTGGATGCAGCGGTGGCCTTGCTGAGAGTTTGTCCTGGTCTCAGATGTTTGTCAGAGCGTGAGCAAGGTGGAAAGGTGGACAGCACCCTGTGGTGGCTGCTCTGGGCTCTTTTTAGGTCCTGGAATGGGCCCCAGCCCCGAGCCTGGGCATTCCTCAAAAGAAGCTCCCTGGTGCCCTGTCGGGGATTCTCTTTCCACTCCCGAGATCGCAGCGATGTTGGCTTTTGCTTGCATGGTTCTGCAGGAAGCCGCCACGTTAGCCTGTGTATGATGTGCCTTGGGGCTGCCCGGGTGCAGAGACTGGCTTTCAGACGGATGGTGATCGTCAGCTGTTGACTCTGGGTTTTGCCGGCCTCAGCCGGGTCGTCAGCTGAGCTCTCGATTGCACAACTTTTATAGTCTTGGCTGGTGCAAGAGGCCGCAGAAGCCGGCTGGAACTTCCACAGGGTGAGCATTTGGTGGATGGTGCTGTGAGAGCAATTCAGGTGCCTGGTGGCTCACCGTCTTGGGCCTGTGTTTGGCCCCCCACACGCTCAGTTCATCTTGGCTGGGTCACGAGAGGCTGGTCATGGGCCTCTCACCTGGGCCTCTAGCCCAGAGCCCGGAGGTGCAGGTCTGGGTCATCAAATGATGGGTTCTCACTGATTATGAAGTGTCGCAGAGAAAACCACACTGCCTTAAGGAAATGAGCCAGTGAGAGAGGCCTCTTTCTGGAACGTAAACACTGCCGCCACCTGGGCGACCCTCACTGTGTGTCGGACCAGAGCTTTGCCTCGTGAGATTTTCAGTGGCTGAAGGTCAGTGGTTTGAAGCCACAAGTCGCTCCTCCAAAGAAAGATGAGGCTCTCTATCCCCGGAAAGAGTGACAGTCTCAGAAACCCATGGGGGCAGCTCTACCCTGTCCTATGGGGTCGTTATGAGTTGGCAACAGCGACTTGAAGGCGATGTGTTTGGTCTTTTGTTTGCATTTGTCAGAGGTGCCACGGGGTAGATTCAAACCCTGAACGTTGCCGTCAGCAGCTGCATATGTGTGTTGGGTTTCTGCTGACTTCAGAGACTCTGGAGGGGGAGGAGGGGCATGTCCAGCAGGAGGAAGCATTTCTGAAAAGCAAGGCTGGAAAAAAGTCTCTCTCACATCCGGTGTCCTGAGGGGCTGTGCCGTCGGGCACAAGGTGATTCCTTCCTTGGGGAGTCATCCCAAGTCCTTCTCGGACTTCACAGTGGGGCCAGCAGTCTGGGATTGGGTAAGCCTTCTTTGTGCCGAATCCACTGAGCTGTCCAGAAAGTCCCCGTAGTTCCTGCCTCCTGTGACAACATCTATAAACTCAGAGATGAGGAAAGGCATCCTTTTTCCAACTGGCTTTAGGGAAGGACAAAAGTGATATTCCCAAATGTGCTGGGCCCTGGGTGTTGGCGCCTCATGGGCCCACCGGAAACTGGGCGGTGAGGCCTGGCAGCTCCACTCCCACCCCACCCCCACCCCCGTTGCATGTCCTTGCTGTTTGATGCCGACTCGGCATGGGCCACAGACAAGGACTGGTGTTCCCGTCTCCTCCTGGTGAAGAGAGGTGTAGGGTAAAGGGGGGCGGTGTTGGGAACAAGGTGGCGGTGGGCTGGGTTTAGAGGAGAGAAGATTTCTTCCCGAGATCTCCTGAACCCCACCACCCTGGGAAGGGGCCTTGGTGGCATGATGGTTAGAGCACTCAACCGGTCACCAAAAGGTGAGTGGGTCAAGCCCCGCAGTCACACGGAGGGAGAAAGATGAGGCGGTCTGCCTCCGTAAAAATTGACAGCCTCAGAAACCCTAAAGAGCAGTTCTACCCCTTCCTGAAGGGTCCCAAGGCAGCATGCACTCGCTGGGGCTTTGCAGCCCTGAGAGCATGATTCTTGGTCCCACCAGAAGCAGGGGTGGAGCTAGGTCAGCTGCGACTGTGCTGAGCCCCAGAGCACTCGGAGCTGCCCTCCCCACAGGTACTGCCGCTCGGCCATTCCCTGCCCTGCAGGCCCAGTTCTGCACAGGACAGGCAGCACCTGCTCTGAGTCTTCCTTCCCAAGTCTGCACCAGCCCCAAACCTGGGCATTCCCAAGGCAGGGCCTCCCCCAAGCTCGTTGTTGCCCCATCCTGCAATGTTCTTTCCCCTTAGGGATGGGGGTGGGGAGGGGCGGAGGTCCCAGGGTTGTTGGCTTCACCTGGGATTACCCCGCCCTGTTTAATGTCAGACTAGGCTCATGGGAGGCTCAGAGTACAACGCCTTGCACAGACAGGATGGACGAGGGGTGCACCCCAACCTTGGGCACGCAGGCCCGTCTCTCCCCACCGACAGGAGAAGTGGCCCAGAAAGGGAAGATGCGTTGAGAGCACAGCAATGGCAGGGTTGGCTGCTGGGAGCAGTCAGTGCCTCTGGTCGATCCTCGCTAACAAGCGGGCTGCTGCTTCCCAGGCCCTGGAGCCCAGGGGCTGCCCCCACCACTCTCCTGTTGGCTGTTTCCTTGGACAACGGCCAGGGCAGAAGCCAGGGGCAGACACAGTGCCCACCTCAGTGGGAGAGGCCGCTGGACTGGAAGTGAGGCAGAGGGAACTGGCCCGGACGAGGACTCCGTGCCGTGCCGCAGTGGAGAATGGGGAGGGTCTAGGTTGCCGCAGCAGCAGCAGTCACCGCCACCGCCACCGCCCTTGTCAGAGCAGTTGTCACTGAGCCGGCGACATCTCACAGCGACCCCAGTGTGTCAGAGCTCAGTCCCTCTGGGCTTTCAATGTGTGCTTTTCGTCAGAAGTAGGTCACCAGGCCTTTTCTCCAAGGCTCCTAGTGTGGGCACGAACCTTCAACCTTGAACTTGGCAGCACTGTGGAAACCCATTGCCTTGAGTCAGTCATGGTCTGTAGCTATCCTGGAGGGCAGAGGTTTGCCCCCATGTAGTGTCTCCAAGGTGCAGAAGGCAGCTGACACGTCTTTCCCCCTCAGGGCGGCTGCTGGGTTTGAACCACCTCGCTTTCAGTTGTCAGTTGAGCCCTTAGCCGCCGCGCCACCAGGAATCCTGCCGCGTGCCTGGGTTACTGTCTGTCGAGCCCACTATGAGGCTTTCTGCTAACCACTTTGAGGCTGGCCCCACAGAACTGTCACGTCACCCCCGGAAGGGCAGGTTCTAATCTTTCTTCCTTCCCTGCGGCTCCCTCTGACCTGCCGTGGCCCCCCTGCCTCTCCAGGCCTGCCTGCTCCTGGTGGCCAGTCCTCTCTGGTGGCCTTGGCTGAGCGTAAAGGGAGCAGGACGGGGAAAGCTGTGGGGAGGCAGAGATGGCCCCTCACAGGGAGCAGAGTGCCGGCTGTGGAGCTACAGGACAGCAACAGAGCCAGGCTGTGTGCTCTGTCCCCCCGCCCCCACCCCGTGCCCAGCCCGGTCCCAAAGGAGCATCTCCCCGAGGTTCCGAAGGGTCCACATTTGCTCCGGTTTATTCGAGGTGTCTGTTTGGGGTGGGCTTCTCTTACTGTGTCTCTCTGAGGTCGGGGGAGAAGGGCGGGCAGCTGTATCCCCCAAGCACACAGGGACTTCTGACCATGTCTGGTGGCCTGTTTGATGGTCAGGACTGTGGGGTGGGGGTGCTCCCGGCATCTAGTGGGGAGAGGCCAGCCATGGAGCTCAGTGCGCTATGGTGTGAGGTCAGCCATCCTGTCCCCTCCCCGTGTTAGGCCAGGCTCTCTTCTAGAGGGACGAAACCAGCGGCAGTCGTCTGCGTGAGAAAGTGCTGCTTTATGTCAACAGGTAACCTTGTATTATGAAGGCAGCCCAGCCCAGTCCAGCTTAAGTCCATGGGTCCGATGCTAGCCAGAACCCTGGTACCTGCCGGCCGGGATGCAGGAAGTAAAGAGCGAGAAGCAGGGAGATCCCAGGCCCGTGAGCGCGGAGTCACCTGGATCCAGAGTTGTGGAAACGGCAGGGTGCCAACAGCTCTCAGGGCAGGCAGACCACATGGGGCCACCCCCGGAGGCAGGCAGAGTCCCAGCGAGCAGGAAGGCCAGGGGACAGAGAGAGGAGAGGGTCCCAGCAGCTCTCTCATACAAAGGCCATACCCCTCAGGAGGCATCATCAGGTTGTGAGCTGATTCACAGGCTGGACTCCACCCCTCCACACGGGTAGCTGACAGACTCTGAGAGCCACAGCCCCCACATAGGACATCCTGGGGCATAGCACCAACCTACACCTCCTGGGGATCCTCCCATTGACACCCCGCACCCACGTCCTGCTTGAGTTGGGCAGGTGCCTCCTGCACCCCTGCAGTTCCTCAGGTACATCTGCCCATGTTCTTCTCCTGACCATCCTCAGAGCTGGCACCAGCGTCATTTCCCATCAGGAAGGCAGGCCTCCATCCCTTCCTACATGGTGCTGCTTATAAGCAACAAGCAGGCCCCATGACGCCCTAAAGCGCACACGCACACACACACACCCCACTGTCTCCCCAGCCTCTCTCTGCCTGCCCTCTCCTCCGAGGCTGGCTTGCTGTGCACCCATCACCTCCTTCGGGCTCCTAAACATGCCTGTCTCCATCCCACTCTAGGGCTTTGTACCTGGGAGCCTCCCTGCCCTGGTATGGGGGGGCGGGGGCAGGGGGCGGCTCCTCATCCCGTAGGGGTCCTGGCTTCTTCCCCAGCAGGCCTTCGTGAGGTTGGCACTCGGGGCTCTGCCCATTGTTCTGCATCCCAGCACCCTGCAGTGGGAAATGGCTGTTTCTGCAGGCACAGTGCTGGCTTGTCTCTTACTGTCTCTCTCCTCTGACAGTGTACATCATGTGTCTCCTAGAATGTAGCCCATGGAGTCAGGGCTGGTCTGTCCTCTCCCCCTTGCATCGCTTGCTCAGCCCATGGACACGATGACTGTTGCATAAGTGAGTTACTGGGCAGTCCCTTGAAGTGGCCAGTCACCTTGCACTTG